TCACAAACTGAAAATTGTTCCACTTTACTGCAGTTTTGCAACGATGCAGGAAGCAGGCCTGCATTCTGTGCACATCTTGTAACCATACCACCTGATATTTTCAGAATGGGGGTGTTGATTATTCAGTAGGTCATGTGAGACCCTCCTGTTTACAATAGTAAACCAGTGCAGCATAGTTTTAGAATGCACTGTGCTCCTAGAAGCAAAGGACCTCATTCTAGACTCTATATGCAGCCCATGACAAATGAATGAAAAGACTCCCACTTACTTCAACAGGCTTTGGGTGGAACTGGTTATACACGGGGTAACTCCACTGTCTTCACAGGGTCCCGGTCCCACTGCGGAGGGGGGCAGTGTGAGTTTGTTGCAGAGCTACTGCTCGGGGATGGGGAACCTTCTGGCATCCCAGCCTCCAAAATCATCCAGGCTGCACCTTCTGCATGACTATATGCTAGCTGAGGGGTGCATAATATAGTAAGAGGAGGCCCTGAAACATAAACCCTTGTATCAGAGGCCCAGTATGAAGCCTAAGACCTGAACTAAAGTAATGGTCAAGACTTTAACATAAAGCAAAGTTAAGCTGTGAGCAAGAGGCAGGCCCTGCTCATAGTCTGGCAAGGAAAGGGCTAATGTTGCAAAAATACACATACCTAAAAGGTACTGGACACTAGAGATATAAACATGTGCCAGGATGGCACCACAACCACTGATACTAGTACATTCCACACAGATAACAGGGAACATGCTGACCCATCCCAAAGACAGGGTCAAAAGGATATGAGGGATAGTGTTGTTTTGTCCAAACCAACATGTACCAGGTGAGAGGTGGCACCCTAACACATAGAGGGGTTGTACCTCAATACATCAGGAGTGATGTGTAACTTGTTTGTACTTGTGTATAAGAATGCACCCCTGAGGAGGTGCCTTTGTCTGGCCTAGGGGGCAGTGGTAAATCCTGCCACTGACTGAGCCGGTCCTTTGTCAGAGAGCACATATGTACTAGCCATGGTTCTCAAATTTTTGTAGTGGTGACCCCTTTCACATAGCAAACCTCTGAGTGCAACCCCCTTTATAAATTAAAAACACTTTTATATATTTAACACTATTATAAATGCTGGAGGCAAAGCAGAGTTTGGGGTGAAGGCTGACAGCTCATGACCCCCCCATGTAATAACCTCACAACCCCCAAGGGGTCCCAACCCCCAGTTTGAGAACCCCTGTACTAGCAGAACTGTAGATATCTGATCTGGGGAGCTGGAGATTGTGTTTCGTTTGGCAATAAACCTGGCCGGCTGCCTTCATACCTTATCGAAGTCTGGGGTCACTGGGTGGTTCACTCGAGATCTGCTGTGCCAGATATCTGTGCAGAGCTGGGACCGCACCCAGGGAGAACACATACACACACAGCCGACTGTTATCAACATTGGACAGAGCAGAGCACCACACTGGTGATGTCTGATGACACTGGGGGCCTCTGCTGCAGGTGATGGGTATCTCAAAGCCATGGCCTGGAGTAGGGAAGCACCTAACTGCAGTTGTCTAGGGGTAATGCTGAGGACTGAGAGTACCTACTGCTGCCATCGCAAGGTTCAAGCATGCTCAGCCTTGGAATTGCCAACCCTCCTGTGACTTGAAGCTGCAGCTGTCTAAGGCTGGCCTTTGGCCCCATGGCTGTAGCCAGAGAAGCTACAGGTGGCTCTGTGACTATTGGGGGCCATTAAGCTAGGAGCAGAGAAAGAAACTGGAGTTAACCTTAAGGAACAAAGGTCACCAATAGAAAAGGAATGTCAAAGGGAGCAGGGAAAGAGGAAGGTCAGGGTTACAGGGGGAGAATAGGACCAACTGACTGGGGAGCACAAACAGGGTAGAAGGGAAACACATGAGGAGAGGTGTTGGTGACCAGGTATTGGAATAGCATGTAAATCAGAGCAAAGGGAGAAAGGCTGGTGATTTCAGGGTCCCAATGGCGAATTGCTTACTGAGCCAGGATTGGGGAAATGGTGTTTGCAAGTGGCTCGCTCAAATGGCAGAATGGGCACCAGGGGAGGGGATTGTCAGAACTGATTGGATATCTGCTGCCTGTGGAACTTCGTTGAGCTGAGGCCAGGACCACATATAGTGACTGGTGAAATAGAGTGGTACGGGTGACATGACTACAGAACTTCTGAATAAGGAAGGAGCTAAATAATGGAGCTATACCTATCTCATAGAACTGGAAGGGACCCCAAAAGGTCATCGAGTCCAGCCCCCTGCCTTCACTAACAGGATCAAGTACGGATTTTACCCCAGAACCCTAATTGGCCCGCTCAAAGATTGAACTCACAACCCTGGGTTTAGCAGGCCAATGCTCAAACCACTGAGCTATCCCTCCCCCTGTGGAGAGTTTCCCCTGATCATTATGAAAGTTCTGCTCACTGTGGACACTGGTAAACCCACATGGGTACAGCTCAATGAGAAAAACTGGGGGCTGAGGAAGCTGTGTATGGCAATACATATAGGCTTGCAGAGGTGTGTGATCAAAATGAAAAATGTCTCAGATTCAGTACCGGGTTTACAATGGTGCCACTAGGCCCACCTCAGAAGGGGCCCACAGATATGTTTGGCGCCGGTCCCACAAAAGATTAATCCGGCCCTGTACCTCCCAACCCAGTGCCGGTTCCTAGCAAGCCGTGGGTGGGAAAATGGAGGAAAAACTGCAGTTCTACCAGGCTGGAACCGAGGTTGAGCTCCCACGTGATCCTGCAGGACAGGGATCTGCAGACCTGTCACAGGTGGGAGGAACCCCTTCAAACCACATGCTCCATCCCATGAAGTCCAAACCTGGCTGCACGCAGGCAGGTAAAACCCTGGATTAGGCACAGCTGCTGCCACCCCACCACCTTCCACACAAACACCAAGCAAGAGGAGGCAGGATAGTGCCGTCTTTTATTCATTTACAGGAACCATGATACAGCAACTTTCACTGGTCTCTTCAAGGCAGGAGCAACCTTTGGCCATGACCCTTCATTACTGAAGACAAAGCAAACATCTTCCTCCCAACCGGACATAGGCAAGGATCAGCAGCCTCTCACACTGAGGTGCCTTCAGCAGAAGGACTGGGCTCGACCTCCTTCTTATTGTCTTCAGGTTTCATAGCAGGAAACAGCAGCACTTCCTGTGGGGGGAACCAACCACCATCAGCTTCCCCCCTCTCCCTATTCCTTACCTCCCATTCACATTCCTTTTTGCATAAAAATAAGAACCCCTAAACCAGCAAATTGTAAGTACTTGATTCGTGCATACTTAAATATTACAAACCCTCTTTACTTCCTCAATGCTCAAGTTGGATTTCCCCAGGTCCCATAATGGACATCATGAAACTCCAGGAGTCAGAGAGAAAACCCCAGAAATGCCTAATTCAGAAAAAAGGCAATTTTAATTTTACCATTACGCCATTTAATCCCCCACAATGGTGCTTATGGAGTTTGGATTTCAGCTATAACTCTGAATTTCCTGGCCTTTAGAATGAGATGTGGAAGGAGACAGGTGTTTCAATCAGAGTCTCATATTACATAAGTAGCCTTATGTTTTACAACTAGAGAGTACCTTGCAGGATTTCTTAAACCCTATTTCATCCAGGTGGTCCATTACCTTAATATTATTGGAGTCTGTAAGGAACATGGTGAGCCGATCGATGCCCATGCCCCATCCAGCTGTCGGTGGAAGTCCATATTCCAATGCAGTGCAAAAGTTGTCATCGATGAACATGGCTTCATCATCACCTGCTGCTTTTGCCTAGATGATTAATGAACAGTGAGACGTAGTTCCCACTGCCCATAGTGCAGGAAATGTCAACACTCCTGCTAATTCCTATGTCACCACAAAGGGGTGCTACTACATTCCTAGAACCTAGGAGGCTATGTTCCAGGAGGGTCTGAATATTTGTAAAATCAGCTGAAGAAATGAACAACAGGGGGGTGATCTTACCCCTCATCCCGGGGTATTATCGTCTGGAGAAGTAGTCTGAAGGCTACATCACAGGCTATGTCTACACTAGAGCCAAGACTGATGCTCTGAGATCGATCCACTGGTGGTCAATTTAGCAGGTCTAGTGAAGACCCACCAAATCGACAACAGATTGCTCTCCAGTCAACCCCTGTACTCTACCCCCGATGAGAAGAGTAAGGCAAGTCAATGGGAGAGTTTCTCCTGTCAATCCCCCGCGGTGTAGACCCTGCGGTAACTCGACTTAAGGTACGTCGACTCCAGCTACATTATTCACGTAGCTGGAGTTGCATAGTGCAGGCCGACTTACCGCAGTAGTGTAGACATAGCCTTAGAAAATGGCATGGGTGCTGCCCACAACATCTAATTCTAACCAAGTTAAATGTCTTGTGAAACAGTGTTTCTGGCACTCAAGCTGCACAGGATTCCTTTTGGCATATGTGAAGAAATGTACCTGGGGATACTGGAGACACAGCACTCCACTAGTACCAGAAGAAGGGATTATAGGAGGTATCTTTAAAACTTTTAGTATTACATTTCAGTAGATAATCTTGTCAATATCTCCTCTCATAATCAATATAATTCATAGCTGAACTACACCCTGATGGCAGTCTACAGCAGTTGCATACATCGAAGATATATTAAGAAAGTGTTCAGGAATCAATTGTCTAATGCAATAAGTATTTTGTTCTTGAAAAAAGTTAACAAGCTCTTTTGGTTCTCCATTTTTTCCATCTTTCCCATGTGTTTTGTTCCAAACTCTTCCCTCTGTGCCTGCTGCATCACTCGTTTGTCCTCTAACAATTCTCCCTTTGGTGGCAGGCAGAGCTGATAGGACTGGACTTGATGTAGGAGATATTTCTTACAAAAGCTTATGTTAGACCCATCTGATTGAGAGATTCAGTGCCAGTAGATTCCTGTGATGTTAGTTCGGAATGTTTAGAACAGCCAGTAGGGGACATAGAAAGAGGAGATAGGACTCTGTGTAAACTGGAAATACACATTCTGGCATTCACCCCAACCACAAATGTTTTCGGTCTCTAATCTCTACAATTCCCTACCTTCGCCTGATCTTCAAAAAACTGCCGCTGCCGGAAGGGGTCGTTGAGCTCCGTGTATGCATTGCATATTTCCTTCTTCATCACAAAGAGTTCAAAGCGTTCTGTCAGTCCCTGCTGAGAGCGATGCCTGTGCAGAGGAGATAAGTCACCAGGCAGCTCAGAAACTAACATAGCTTCCTCATGAAAAACAACAAGGTCACTGTATCAGAGGGGTAGCCGTGTTAGTCTGAATCTGTAAAAAGCAACAGAGGGTCCTGTGGCACCTTTGAGACTAACAGAAGTACTGGGAGCATAAGCTTTCGTGGGTAAGAACCTCACTTCTTCAGATGCAAGCCTCTGAAGAAGTGAGGTTCTTACCCACGAAAGCTTATGCTCCCAGTACTTCTGTTAGTCTCAAAGGTGCCACAGGACCCTCTGTTGCTTTTAACAAGGTCACTGTTTCAGAAGAGATGCCCACTCTGACAGTCACCACTGTGAAACTCCAGGGCACTCAGCATAGACATTTCCCCCCTGTATTTTATGCCCTATGAAATGGGCTCCTTGGCTCAGGAATCAAGACCTGGACAAGTGTCAGACGTCCAAAACTGCCACATGGCACCAAATCTTTCA